TTCAAAGAAGATATAAATCAAAAAAAATACTTTCAAATAAAGGAAAAGAAAGTCACAAAGAAATCTATGGTGGTATTCACATCTGATAAAAACAGAATAAAAACAATATCCAGAAATTCTTAAGAATGCCCATGATGACGTCATACCTTAAAATATTAGAGATTTATAACTAGTCAAATCTAGTTGTGCACATTTCCTAAGTTGAACAGTTAAAAGCTGATATTAACATTGTAAGAATCTTGACATATTGAAATATTGAAACTTTCCATTAAAAACTGTGAAATCACAACCCAGAGATGTGATGTATTATTTTTAAGATGGAAAACAATATATTTCCAAACAAATCATGTAAAACTTGTAACTATAAACAAATACAAAAATGTTAAGGGTCTTTTAAAGGACAAAGAAAATGTCCCTTCCAAGGAAGTAATATAATTGGTTAGCTGTTACATTTATACGTAAAATATGTATTTTACATGTGTGGAGACTGGTGGGAATGAGGTTATATTACTTGTTTTGCATGTGATTCTGCATGAAGTTTTTTCAGCCCAAAAGTGGATATTAAGTGTAGCTTCTCAACTCCTAACTCTATCCATAAAAAAAAGTGGGAACAGAGCATAATGATTATGCATGAACATTTTTCTTTTCTGAATTATTTAAAAATATATTTTAATTATAATTAATGCACTACAGTTATATTAGTTTCAGATGTACAACATAGTGATGCAACATTTATATACCTTATGAAGTGATCACCACAGTAAGTCTAGTAACCATCTGTCACCACAGTTATTATAGTATTATTGATTATATTCCCTCTCTTGTACATTATATCTCCCAAAACATTTATAACTAGAAGTCTGTACTTCTTAATTCCCTTAACCTTTTCCACCCCCACCCCTTCCCTTCTGGGAACCATCAGTTTTGTTCTCTATGAGTTTGTTTCTGTTTCTTTTTGTTGTTGTTGTTTCACATTTTCAATACAAATGTAAAAAAAGCAATTTTTAACATTTGCACTTTAATACAGGAATTAAAAAAATATTGAATCCCATCAAAAATGAAAAGCAGGATTTTTACACTAAAAACCACCCCACCGTCACAAGGAAACAGAACAGTATTCCTATTCCCTTAAATATCAATTACACAAGGCAAAACATATTTGAAAGGGGATACACACATTCACACACACACACACACACACACACACACACACACACACACACACACAGTTTTAAAGGAAACAAACTGATGAGAATCTACAGGAGAAAAACCCAAACATTTCAGGAGTTAAACTCTGACAAATGTCAATCAATGGGTAGTCTCACCATCGCACTCCGAAGAATCTGGGTCACACAGATATTTCAAGTAAGTTTAGGCCAAAACATACTAAAAATAATTACGATTTTAAAGTAATTTGCCTATTAATCATGATTTTTAAAAATAAAGCTGTCAAATGATGAAGGAGCAACAAGGTATTTGGTATGACTACATTCTGACAGAAGGCAGAATCTTATGTAAAGTTTGTGAACTGTTACAAATGTATAAAATATAATAATGAGAAAATAACTACTTTATATATAACTTTGAAATATTTACTTAACTAAACCATGTATCCTCAACATGGACTTTACCAGCTAACACAGGCAGAGTACCTAGCTGAAGAGAGATAGGTCTCATTGCTTAGAGATGTGTCATTAAGTATAGTCTCATTGATTCAAAGTGTATCATCTCATTTAACTTTCATTCTGGATTTCTTTCAAATATTTGATCTAAATCTAAACCTAAATATATAAAAAACATGCCTAGGTTGTAGGCCAGGTTCCCAGTAGGAAGTGTGTGAGAGGCAACCACACATTGATATCTCTCTGTCTCCCTCCCTCCCTGCCCCCCGCTCTAAAAATAAATAAATAAAATATTTTTTAAAAAAGGAAGAAGTGTATTAAATGAAGCAACGCATATTTTGAGGGCTTCCACTGTGCAAGCAAACAGTGCTACTGGCCATCATGCACAGCCCTCTGAAATATTAGCTACCAATACTCTTTTGTATAAGAGAACAATAAATAACCCCAGACTCTTGTGGTTATATGACATACTTAAACACTGTCATCTAAGAAATATCTTCCAGTTCCTGCCCATTAGACTAGTTTTGGGTTTACCTCAACTGCCAACTAACGTCTACTAAGGCAACTATACTGTATTTCAATGAGGAACAAAATCATAAATACTTTAAATCAACCACTGAAAAAAATTTATTAACATCCCAAAGAGATGAGTGAATTAATCTTTTAAATCAACTGTAGAATGAGATTTTTTAAAAAACACTAAGGAAAATTTTTTACTTCTCTATATTCAAAAATGTTCAGAAGTATTTTATTGAGTTGTACATTTGAAACCTGTATGGTTTTGTGAACAAATATCATCCCAATAAATTCAATCAATAATAGTAATATTTTGTAATCAGTTCTGAGCTGAAAAAAATGTTTAGAAGTAGGCTTTTCTACTAAAGGGGTAAATTTGAAAACTATATAGCTCTAACTCAACTGATACTGTTTTTTAAAACTGTGTTCTGAAACCAAAGTTAAATCTACTTCCTCCCCCATAAAAACAGCTTTGCTTAATATAGAAACAGGTGAAGAATTCCAGCTACAATTCATAACTTCAGAATAAAGATCTGGCAACCTTAAAACACAAGCACCTTATCAAACAGCACAATTCGTTCTTACTAACATTCAATACAGCAGCTGTGTGCTGGCCTAAAACCAAATCCTGCTTTCCCTTTTTATATTATGAGAAAAATAAAAAACAAAAAAAGCAACCCCCCCCCCCCACAAAGAAAATTCCAGGTTTTCTTTAGGTAATCATTAAAACTGTGTGTTGCTTTGCATATTTGTACTGTCTTACTTGAAATTTTAACTTCCTGACATTAACGTTAGAAAAATTTTATTCTATTATGAAAACTCTGAAAAAACACACTAGGCCTGGCTCCCCACTGCTATACAAGCTGAGCCCTCAGGGTTCAGGATCCACGAGTCTGGGTGTGTTTCCCCAGCCATCCTCTCACACACCCCTTGCCTCTGACCGGGAAAGGCCATGGCAACGTGAAGCAAGTTTCTACCCCTGTTGACTCCTGCAGCTGCACATGAAGCAAAGCATCCCTTCTCCATATTTACTCATATTTACTCTGCCCATCCGACAAGTGTCAGATGAGGGTTTTTTTCAGAGAATGGTTGATTTTAAATTAAGTTAAAACTAAGTATTTTGAAGACATGGACAATAAAAGACCTTAATGGAAAAAAATAATGCAAATAAATTGTTCACCCACATCAAGTGAACACGTTTTATCAGGACACTTGGTATGTAATAAAGGCACAATATATATCAAATAGCGAACCTAGCTTCTGAAAAAGAAAAAAATGTAACTAGATTTTAATTAATAATAGACGGTTTCTTCCTTACCAAATCATTCTCATTTCAAGGATTTTAAACAAAAATATAAGCTTTCCATAATGATTATGGAAATCTTAAGTTCAATCACTGAGTATAGTAAGTTGAATGTTGGCCCCAAAGATATGTCAACATCTGAATCCCTGAAACTTGTAAGGATTACCTTGTATGGCAAAAGAAGAGATTAAGTTAAGGGCCTTAAGGATAGAAGCTTACACTGGATTATGAAGGTAGGTCCTGAATACAATCACATGTATCGTTATTAAGAGAGGCAGAGGGAGTTCTGAGAGACACACACACACAAGGAGGAGAAGGTGAAGTGCATATGGAGCAGGGAGAGGGGCAGCCACAAGGAAACGCCAATGGCCTCCAGAAGCTGAAAGAGGTGAGGAAGGTTTGCCTCTTAGAGCCTCTGGAGGAAGCATAGCCCTGCCTACATCTTAACTTCAAATATTTGGCTTCTTGAACTCAGCTCTGAGAAAATAAATCTCTGCTGCTGTAAACCAAGACTGTGCAATTTGTTACGGCAGCCACAGGACACTAATGTCCTGAGGGAAAGAGTATATTAAAGGGTAATCCTTAAAGCACACATACTTAGAAGTAAAAGGATTACTCAATACTATAAATATTTCAAGACAAAATATATAATGATATAATAAGCAATTTTTTACAGTTCTAACTTTGAAGCAAATTATTCTATTAAGATTTTACATGTAACACTAACAGATATCACTGAGTGGTGATCATTCAGTGCTTGCAGTTAGCACAAAAATTACGACGGCAGCTGCTTATTTTACTCCACAATCCCACTCCATCCCAAAATACTCCTTTATACCTATACAGTGTGTGTTATAAAAAGCTACTTTTTGACTAAGAATATGTTCCCATGGCTCCTTGCCCTTATATCTACCTCATCAGCAGTTTAACCTAATCTCTGAATGTTAACTACAATAACAAAGTGCAGCAAGCAAGAGACGGGAAAATAAATTAATCTTTCAAATCAGACCACAAAGTGACAGAATTTAAAAACAATAAAAAATGTCTGCAAAACACTCACAAGTATCTGTGACTTAAGAAACTATACATCACTAAGTATAAAGAATCTCACTATTTGATCTGCTGAAATGGGCAGAGCCACCCAGAAACTGACAAAGGGGAAGACAGTGACATCTGAGGAATTACAAGCTACACAGGCCATAATACTTCGAAGAGGTCATTTTAAAAAAGAAAACAATAAATCTTTATGATCTGGGAACCACTTGGTCATCTGAGACTACAATAAAAAAAGAAAAATAATCAAATCCTAGAGCCTCAATGTTGCTACTGTCAATACTGGGATGCCGGTATCTACCTGCCTCATGGTGCACACGATGACGGGCCATGGTTTGGCTCACAGCTTCTCGCCATCAACTGGCTGACTGGGAGCTAACTACATTTGCTTTCTCAATGAAAAATTTCAGGGAAAACTTACTAGATGGGAAAACGAAAAAAGGAAATATTTTAAACCAGAAAGCCTCATTTCCATTTTGCTGACATCCAGGGGGTCGAGCACTCACCACATCACTAGCGCTGGAGAACTCATTATTCACCAGACTTTCCAGAGCCATCCACCGAACCGGCCTGTTTTCATTGTCCCCCAGACAGTGATAGTCCATGGGGAACAAGTCTCTGGAGAGGGCGTTGTCTGTAATCTTAACTTGAAGAGTATCATCAATGCTGAAAAGTAAAGACATGAATATCAAATGCAATCAGAATATTTAAAAAATTCGGGTCATGATCACTCTTAAATGCAACATAATTTCCACTGTGACTTCTGGAAAGAACCTGACACATCATGGAACATGACACATCAAATGACAGTGATAAGCCCATGGCACCTACACACAGTTCCTGGCAGCCAGGTCTTTGTGGATGACCTCCCTTCGGGCCAGATAGCTCATCCCACAGGCAATCTGAATAGCCATGTGGACCAGGTCTTGTTGAGAAATTGCCTGTGGGAACAGAAAATGACAGTGTTTGCCGTTAGAACAGAAACTGTGATGGCAGCTGCTTATTTTATTACATAATTCCACTCCATCCCAAAATACTTTTAATACACACTTAAAAAAAAAGCTACTTCTTGACCAAGAATATATCCCTTGTAGTCATATTCACTATTGTCTTTATGGTTCTGTAAAGTAGTTCAACATTTACTTCTCTCATCTGTTAGGTATATCTATCTCCCCAACACCCAGCACATATAGTAGCTGCTCATAAGTGTCTGTTCAATGCTGACTTAACAAGGTAATATTTCAAATGCTTATTACTTAATAACTAGTTCTTTTAAAATAGTTATTTATTCTTATTTAATTATATTTTATTGATTATGCTAATACAATTGTCCTGATTTTCCCCCCTGGTCCCCCTCCACTCAGCACCCCCCCCCCCCGCACTGCCTCAGTTAATACCCCACCATTGTTCATGTCCATGGGTCATGCATATTAAGTTCTTTGGCTACTCCCTTTCCTATACTGTACTTTACATCCCCATGGCTATTCTGTAACCACCTATTTGTACTTCTTAATCCCCTCACTTCCTCACCCATTCCCCTACAGCCCCTACCATCTGGCAACCATCAAAATGCTCTCTGTATCCATGATTCTGTCCCTGTGCTTGTTTGCTTTTCAGATTCAGTTGTTGATAGATATGTACTTTTTTGGTCATTTTAATGCTCCCAGTTTTGATCTTTTTCATTTTCTTAAAGCCCCTTTAACAATTCATATAAAAATAGTTTGGTGATGATGAACTCCTTTAGATTTTTCTTGTCTGGGAAGCTCTTTATCTGCCCTTCCATTCTAAATGATAGCTCTGCTGGGTAGAGCAATCTTGGCTATAGGTCCCTGCCTTTCATGACTTGGAATATTTCTAGCCGATCCCTTCTAGCCTGCAAAGTTTCTTTTGAGAAATCAGCTGCCAGTCTTATGGGAATTCCCCTGTAGGTAACTAACTACTTTTCTATTGCTGCTTTTAAGATTATCTCTTTATCTCTAACCTCTAGCATTTTAATTATAATGTGTCTTGGAATGAACCTCTTTGCATCCATCTTGTTCGGGACCCTCTGTGCTTCCTGGACTTGCATGTCTATTTCCTTTGCCAAATTAGGTAAGTTTTCTTTCATTATTATTTTTTCCAATAGATTTCCAATCTCTTCTTCTTCGTCTCCTTCTGGCACCCCTATGATGCAAATGCTGGACCTCTGAAGTTGTCCCCGAGTCTGCTTATGCTATCTTCATTTTTTGGGGGGAGGAGATTCTTTCTTATTCTTATTGTTCTGATTGGTTGTTTTTGCTTCCTTATGTTCCAATCATTTATTTGATTATCAGCTTCATTCACTCTACTGTTGTTTCCCTATAAATTGTTATTTCAATTAGTGTATTCTTCCTTTCTGACGGGATCTTTTTAATGCTGCTCAGGTCCTCGCAAAGTTCCTTGAGCATCTTTATAACCAGTGTTTTGAACTCTGCATCTGATAGATTGCTTATCTCTATTTCATTTAGCTCTTTTTCTGGAGTTTTGATCTATTCTTTCATTTGGGCCACGTCTCCTTGTTTTGGGAGCCACCCTGTTTGTTTCTATGTATCAGGTAGAGCTGTTGTGACTCTGTGTCTTGGTAGCACAGCCTAATGTAGTGGGTGACCTGTAGGGTCCAGTGGCACAGCCTCCCCTATCACCCAAGGTGGGTACTCAAGGTATGCCCTTTGTGTGGACTGAGTACACCCTCCTCTTGTAGTTGAGCCTTGGTTGCAGTTAGCACATCAATGCGAGGGATTTTACCCAGGCCAGTCAACTGCAGGGATTGGCTCTGACCATTGACCACAAACCCCCATCCTATGTGGAGGATCAGTTGTGCAGCAGCAGGCTGGTGGTGCTCTGATGTGGTCTGTAGCTGTCTGTTGGGTGTGCTGGCCCTGGGGTTTCCCAGGTGGTGCAGGCCAAGGTCAACCCCCACCTGTTTTTGCCTGGGGCCACTTTGCCTGAGCTATAAAGCAATCTGAGATGGTTGCTACCTGTGCTGGGCTTGGGGGTTCTCAGACAAAACCAAGCTGTGAATCTAGGCTAGCTGCTGCTAGTGCCAGGCCTGGGGATTACTGAGGCCAGCTGTTGCTTGTTTGAGAGCATTTGGAATCTGAAGCATAAGCCAAGACAAGTCATTGATATGGAAAAGCAGCTTGGGTGGGCCCGTAAATTGGGTGGGGCAGAGTCTCTGGGGATCTCTAAGGAGGGTCAAACACTGTTAGCCAGGTTGATGGGAGTTTCAGATATGACATCAGCTTGCCAGCTTTGTGGGGGGAGGGTTTAGAAAAGGGACAATGGCCTCTGCTTGCCTGATGCCAAGACACTTCAGTTTCTCCCAATATGCCACTGGTGCCTTTCAGGCTGCTAGCCCAGTGTGGGAGCTCAGAGTGAGTGAATCTGAGTAGGTGAGTCCGTGTGTGGGTTCTTTAAGAGGAACTGCTTGGGGCTCTAGCAGTTTCTTCCAACAACTCAATCCCTGCTGGTTTTTGCAGCCAGAAGTTGTGAGGACTTATCTTCCTGGAACTGGAACCCTGGGCTGCAGGGCTGGTGTGGGGCTGGGACTCCTTGCTCCCAAGATATCCCTCCCTAATTCTTATCCACCACACATGGGTGAGGGAACAGACCATTCCACCTCTGTGCCCCTCCGACCAGTCTGGATGAATGTGGTTTCTTTAATTCTGTAGTTGTCAGACCTCCATTCAACTCAATTTCTGACGTTCTGAGTAATGGTTGTTTTATATTTTACTTGTAATTTTGATGTGGTTGTGTGAAGAGGTGAGCCACGTCTGTCTTTACCGCCATCTTGACTGGAAGTCTAAAATAGTTTTTATTAGGAAGTTATCCCCTAAGGGCCATTTTCAAACTAATACAAGCCTATAGCTCTTTGCAATGATGTACTCCCCTGGAGCCAATACTGTGGGCTGCAGAATGAAACTCTTCCCCAGGTGATGTAGGTGGGCTTCAGCCTCCAACCCACATTAGGAACCTGGCTATAATTCTGTCAATATACAAAGCTTATCAAACATATTAAACCAAATACTCAATGCAACCATTGAATCTATTTTCTCCTGACAACTTTAATAAGTACATTATTATAAATCTTGAAACAAACTTAATAGGGCTACAAAATACAGTGGCAGCAAATCACATACTATGCTTTACTATTACTGCCATCATAATGTGTTTGGAATCTACCCAAATGCTTCACAGCTATGTGGACAAGCAGTGACAAGAAAGAAACTCTTAGATGACTAACACCTTACGGCTAAGTATATTAAAAATATGCCCTCCAGTCATCACAAACTTTTGGTGCAATATGGACCAAATGGCTCTCAACATAGATCAAATGGGCCTGTTTTTACTCCTAGAAGGAAGATCTAGTACAATCACCTTCAAGAGTTATCAGAAAAATGACTGGGAGGGTGTCACACAGGGACTGAGGCGACTCTGAATGAGCACACAATGGGGATGCAAGAAAAAACTTCAGCATCAGTGCAGCGTACACCTTTAGGCAGGAATCATAAACCAACCTTCCTCCAGTCCAACAGGTTATAACATCATCTGATTTTGAGTTTCTTTTTGTAGGCCTTTACACAGTTTATATTTAAAATGTAAACATCTACTTCAAAGATAATATCAGAAGCTACTGGTAAATAACTTGTATTTGGCAAATTTTTCTCACCTGAGGATTATTGGCCTCTACTAATTTGCACTGCCGTAAAAACAATTTTAGATTCCCCCAATTCATGTAAGGCAATATCACCATGGGCTTTTCTCCTTCTTCTATACACACATGGGTAATAGGAAGAAGATTTCTATAAAATAATCAGAAATCAGGAGAAAGACAAGTGAAATCTAAAACCTCAGGGACTCATTTGTGATAAAAAGCAACAAAATAAAGATAACTTAAAACAAGAAAATCTCCAACATATTTATAAATATGATTACTATTTAAATGTAAAATTATAGATGCTCTTTTAAACTAGACTTTAACATTTCCCATATGTGCACTAGGGAAAAGTTATAAACTCAAAGTTGTTTCCTGTGGACTGGATTCTCTGAAGACACATTCTAGCTACACTAAATCTTTATTTCACTCTAAAGGACAATTAGAGACAAATGTTTGACTGTGAGCATATTATGACAATATACCATTTTGTCCATCATTGCACCTAAAAAAAAAGCCCCAATGCAGACTGTGGAAGAAGAATATAATAATCAAGAAGACTCTAAGAGGCTGAAATTATCACAAAAGCCAAGAGAGTCTTAACTGGTCACAAAGTACTTAGAACCCGATTTCCAAATCCATAATTTGCAATCAACTGTCTGTGTGGCCATCTCCTTTGGCCTTAGCTTCCATACCTCTAACACAGGAATCCCACCACCCATAAAATGTCGCTATAATGGGCAAAGTTATATAAGCATGTGGTAAACAATCTTATTTCTTTTTTAATTTCTATGGCACAATACATACATTTCATCCTATTGCCTAATGACACCTTTTCTACTGGTATCTGGAAATAACTATTAATTTTCCCCATGGTTACATAAGTTTTTATATAATTACCTCATATTCCCTACTAAGCTGAAAATTCCTAGAAGGCAAAAACTAACAGGGACTCTTATTTTTACACCCAATGCCTCATATTCTATACCTTAGAAAACAAGCATTTAATAAATATTTAATAACACAGAAATAACACAGCTTTAAAAAACATCAGTGTTCCTTAACTTAGTATATTCTGCTTCTCAAGATGTTGAATAAGGAAAAAAGAAAGCTATGTGAACAAGGGCAGTTAATGCAATATTAGTAGCAAAAAGCTGCAAGCAACTCGAATGTCCATAAGTAAGTAAAGGAGAGTACATCCAATAATTGAATAGTAGGTACCAAGTAAATGGTCACAAAGAGCTGTTAAGAGAATATGAGTAAAAGCTGATCTCACAGAAAAGCAAAACACAAAATTCATGTGTCTGCAGGATAATTACAGTTATGGAGAAAAAATAAAACTCTGCACAGAAATATGCCAAGATTTAAGAGTTGTTGTATTGAGTTGTAGGACTCTGGATCATTTCTAACTTGCTTTTCTGTACTTCCTAAACTGTCTCAATTGAGTATGTATCTCTTTTAAAAGCACCTTCACACAATTCTGGCCTGAGCAACGGTGTACAGGTGAAAGCTCTGGGTTGCCCTGTGCTGTGCAGGAGCTACTAACAGGAAGGGCACTGACCCCAAGGGGCTGGGAAAATGCCCACTCACACGAGTAAACCTGTAGGAGGTAACCTCCCTGTAAGGCTTCTGCCTGCAGGACAGCCTGAGAGTGGCAGCGCTGATTAGTCCCACTTAACAAGTAGGAAACGCGTGTGAAGAGAGAGGTTAGATAACCTGTCAAGGTCAAACAGCAAGTACATAAAGAATACAAAATCAAATCTTATCTGATTCCAAAAGCCTTAGACTTTCCCCTGGACACTTCCTCCCAGGAGAACAAAAGGGAGTGCCAGGGAGATGACAGAGTCTCTTTTCACACCAAGTCCCATGCACACTAGAATGACGACAGCTAGTTTGAACTCAGGATTAAATGAGCATTTCAGGGGTGATGTGCAGAGTTGCCCAATCTCTCCCCACCCCTGCCAAAAATTATTTCCCTGCTGCTTTCCTCATGACTAAAGTTCACTCAGCAGAGCTGAAGGCATTTTCTCTAGGCACAGTAAGTTTGCTAGACGAGATCAAATAATTTATTCTATCAGCAAAGGATTAAAATCCCCTCTGGGAAAGGTAACAAGCAGCATGAAAATGTTTCAAAGTCCAAAGGACTGTTCTTCATTCTGTGGGTTTTATAAAGATCGGGAGGATAAAGAGAACTTCTGGGGTCTAGGAGTGGATGAGAGAGAAGAACAAGGCACAGGAAGGGCAGATTCTTCGGGAACATGGACAAGAGCTGCGGCCCCCTCTCAGTCCTGCAAGTGTCCTTGTGCAGTCAGAGCTGGAGGGCATTCAGTGTAAGAGGTGCCGCCATCAGGCACCCTTGGGCCAACGGAGAATTAAGCTATAAGTAAAAATAGCTTACGAGTTCTTTGGTATGAAGCACTTCCAATGTAATTAAGATAGATTGATAGCCACCTTTAATTATACAGCTTATTTTAACTTAGAATAAAAATTATTCTCACAAATTCCAGAGGAACAAGGAATGAAAATAAGGCATTTAAAGAAGTTTAAAATATTTCACCACTTTACAACTCTCTTTAATCTTGGAATGTTAAAACATGAATTAAACATGTTTTATGTATAGAATTACATAATTAGTTTTTAAAAAGGTAAAATTTAAAACCAAGTGTCATTCTTAGTGTATTTAGTCTACTTGATAAATTCTGATGTGACCACTGAAGATCATTATTTCATTTTTATCCCCCATGCCTAGCAGAGAATTCCAAGTATGAAATGGGCACTTAATGAATTAGATGAAAGAATAAACAAATGTGTACACAAAGCATGAACAGTCTAGACATCAGAGGTCAAGAAAAATGTGTGAGGCCCCAGTTCCCTTAAAAATGAACTGCAGCAGTGAGTGGAAAGAATAATACACTTTCCATACACTGAAAATGTGTTTTGCTCATTAAAAACTAGGAGTCCTGGTACTGCTTTATAGCCAGGAAACACAAAGAACCTGATCGAATGATAGGTTACTTTTAGAAGACTTCTCCCAGTCACTGAATGTCCAGTATCAAAATGACCCCCACTGAGTATGTCATCCCACTCCATCCTCTCAGGGTGTAATGGGGCTGCTAATTAATTCATCCTGGTAGGGTACTGGAAAACCCCAGAGCTTAAAGCTGCATGTGAAAGTGCTGTACATGCTTGCTCTAAACATTTTTAGCCAAAGCATCTTTAGGATACAATAGCTATAAACGACTTACTGGGTATACATCCTGTCTTTGTCTGCATTTATCCTTGCTGCCCACTTCTGTGCTACAGTGCTACAGGCCCTTTCATCAGGGTAAGAACACTAGCTAGGGCACTGGTGGGCTGGCTCAGATGGTTGGAGCATCGTTCCGTATACCAAAAGGTTGTGGGTTTGATCCCTGGTTCGGATGCATAAGGGAGACAACCGATCCATGTTTCTCACCTCAATGTTTCTCTCTCTCTCCACCTTCCTCTCTTTAAAGTCAATATATATATCCTAGGGTGAGAATTAAAGAAAGAATACTGCCTAGGTACCTAAGTACTGGGTAAACATTCCATTCCAGTATTAAACACTTTGGCTCCTCTCCCTAGAGTTAGCATAACAGAACATCAAGCACTCCCAGCAGTGTCAAAAAGGACATTCCCCACACTGATCATAACCAGTTCTTATTTTTTCCCGTGGGATGAAACAAAATGTGGGTTTCCCCCCAAAAAACAGTCTAAGGAGAAGTTATCCATCCATTCCTCAACGAATGAGCTCTGTTATCAGACTTTATCAGGCTGATCGAAGGTAGCACTCTTAAACCATGTGACTTTGGGACATCCTCAGTCCCTCAATACAGTGCGATCCATTTTTTCAAAGGTCCCTGGCTTTTTTATTTTCAATGAAACTAAAAAATGTAGCTGTTAATTAATCAACATCCCAAGTATATGATGAACCTGAGATATTTGCCTCAAAATTTGAAACTAGCTCCCTCAAGAACATCTATGTTTCTTTCCCCTTCTAGCACTGAGATTTATCAACTGTAATGTTGCCCAGAAGCTAAGAGCTGTTTTATGTTCAATCACAGCAAAAGTATTTGTCTCATTATTAGGCTTATTTGTTTTCTTTTCCATCATCACAGTGCAAAAAAAAACGAGTTTCATTTTCATTACCATTTTACTGATCTTACTATAGCTGCCTTCTTTTTTTTAGGTGCTCCAATTCTTTTAAATACGAACCAAAGTATAAACAAAGTTAAAAAATAAAACTAAGCACAGTCATCTTATTTTTTAGCAGGATTCAAGTAACTCCTCAAAATATAGAGAAAGTAAATAAAGGATGCCTTATGCATGCCTCATTTTCTTTTTCCCCATAAACTCATGAATATCTTCCAACAGGGATGGTCACTGTCCCATTTTTTTAAACACGTGTGACTAAATTTTCAGTAAGGTGCAAAATAACCTCACTCTTGTCTAGGGTCTTAAAAAAGAAGTTGCCTCAATATTGATACTGCTGCACACTGTGATCTATATTTAAGCCCCTTTTGTCTCAGAAGGTAAAAGCTTTTATTATAGCTCTATGAAGAGGACTAATATTAAGCTTTTTTTTAAAAAAAAGAGATTTATTTATTTTTACAGAGAGGGGAAGGGAAGGAGAAAGAGAGGGAGAGAAACATCAATGTGTGGTTGCCTCTTGCATACCGCCCACTGGGGACCTGGCCTGCAACCCAGGCATGTGCCCTGACTGGGGATTGAACTGCCACCTTTTGGTTCGCAGGCCTGTGTTCAATCCACTGAGCCACACCAGCCAGGTATATCGAGCTTTTTAAAAAACCTCTTCCTATAGAAATACAAGTGTCTTAAAAAATTTTATTCATTTTTAGAGAGAGGGGGAGGAAGGGAGAAAGACAGAGAGAAACATTGATGTGAGAGAAAACTGATTGGTTGCCTCTCCTATGCACCCTGTAAGGGGGACCAAATCCTCAATGCAGGCATGTGCCCTGACTGGGAATTAAACTGGCAACCTTTCGCCTTGAGGAATGAAGCCCAAACAACTGAGCCACGCTTGCCAGGGCCAAGCAGGTTTTCAAAAATAATACTATGACCTAACAAGAGGTTGGCTAAATCAAATGTGGTGATACATCCATTTAATGAACTGCTATGTAGCCTTTTTAAATGTGGACATGAATTTATAGTTACTGACATGAAAAGTTAAGATATATTGTTTTGTTATAGTAAAGCATGTTTAATGTGTCAAGGATAACAATAGTACTGATTATATAGAAAAAATATTTTTAAGTGCGTGCTGGAAATTCACTGAAAGTGTTGAGATGTCCAGTTTATTTTAAAATACTTCCACAATCACAAATATCTATCATGTATCTAGATAGATGATATACCTACACATGTATATACACATACAAAGCAAAAATGGCAAAATGTTAACTAACAATGAATTTTAGGAGGTTGTCTTTTTGTTTTTACTATTCTTGTCTTTAGCATTCTTTATGTTCAAAAATTTCATTATAGTTTTTTAACACATGTATATCATTATCCTATTTTTAAAAGGGAAATATGCACATACATATGTATAAACTTTCAAATGCTTAGCTATGATTATCCAGATGTGGGCTCACATATCTTTATACTTTACTGTTCTTAAATTTTGTGCTGCAAGCATGCATTTCACTTTTATATTCAGAAAAAAAATTAAACTATTCCAAAACCTTTCAATTCAGAACACATGACTGCTCTTAAAATAAAAATGTAACAGACAATGTCACCATGCTCAACAAACGCTGGCGGTGCTCTCTCACCTGTGATGAAGACCTCGCAGCTTACAACTCTCAGTGAGCATCATTGTCACCTGAATCTCAGAAGCTTGATCTGTATAAAGAAAAAGACACTGTCTTCAGTGATAATAGTATATATGACATTAATATTTTCTGCTATTAGCAAATAATGTGGATTATACCTTTGAGACTATAAGGTAAAGTTTCCTTATAAATCACAAGTAAATTTAAATAGGTCTAGCTTAAAATTCTATTGTAGTAGGTATGTCTCATTGAATAGGTCAACATTAAAAGAAGCCATTAAAGATAAATCTGACTACATAAAAATTAGAAATTAAGGTTCCATAAACAAAGTAGAGAAACTTCATAACAGACTGGAAGAATATCTGCAACACATAAGACATATAAAGGGCTATTTTTCTTTTTGTTCCTCTTCTTTAAAAAGTTCACACAAATCAGTAAGAAAAAAAATTGAAGAAGGCATTTTCCCACTGTTTGAAAAGAACATTTCCATTAAGTCAACAGTATATTTTCATTATAAAATTAAAAATGAGTGTCAATTTTTAAAAAATAGCTTTCAATACCAAAATCAAAATTAAGAGTATTCTTAAAAACACTTTCAAAGAAACCAATAACTATTTTGTAGTCAACAGTAAAAACAGTAATAATAATTTATAAAGCTTTTGATCAATGCAATAAGAGGGAGAAAAAGATATAACAACTGGCAAACTCAAGTTCCACATCCCAGCCCCACCTAGTAAAATGCTGAACCAACAGTAAAGTCCAGACCCTGAACTCAGGCACTGTGATTACATGTCACATTCAGTCCTTAGAAGCGGGGCTGTCAAAGCTGAGAAACTGCAAGTTTCACTGACTTCCAGCTCTACCTGATGGAATCACTCCCCTCTCACCACTTGTTATTAGTGTCCCCTTTCCAGACAGGTTCACTTAGTTAAGACTTTCATAGGAATGTCAAATAAGTGGACAAAAAGCCAAGAACGTGAAACACTGGGCACTTGTTTGGAAAAGGCGATCCACACCACTGTTTATGAAATAAACTCTGGTTGTCTAAAAACTGCTTAACATTTAGGATCGTTTAGTAAATGGCAGGATGTGCCTCGTTCCTCTTTATGTACTCTAAATAATTTTTAATGAAATTATAGCCAGGACTATTGGGAGGCTGGTAGGATCTTTTTGGATTGAAAACCAGTGATATTTGGAGGTCCACATCCAGTTGGTAAGAGTTTACCTTCCCATCAACTCATACAGAGATACAAGTAAAACAGAAGGTAATTTCAAGACATGTCATTTTTTGCATAATATTTTTCAAGTTCTTAACTTTGATAAACATGTTCTATTAAGCAAGAGATACCTGAACTGGATGATGATCTAAGAAAATTCTGAATTGTAGAAAAAATAATTTTATCCACTTAGTAAGAAAAAATCATTTTCCTGGATTCCTTTCCCAGTCTAGCCCTAGTCTTTTAATTTTAAATACTGAAAGAGCTATCTTCAAGATGTATACATTTGAAAAGAATACTATGAAATAATTAACATTCAAAAAGCTATAATAAAGAAATTATAAAAAATACACTCACAAGTTACAAAAAATTAGCTGAGAAAACAACACCAATAACCTCAAATTAATTCATTTATTTTTATGAAATTCAATTTTACAATGAGGTATGAAATTCAGATTCCTAACTTTATTTTTTTTAACTTAAAAAAAGATTTAATTAATTTATTTCTAGAGAGAGGAGAGAAAAAGAGAAGGAGAAAAACATCAATGTGTGGTTGCCTCTCGCATGCCCCCAACTGGGGTAGAGCTAGCCTGCAACCCAGAGATGTGCCCTGACTAGGAATCAAACTGGTGACCCTTTGGTTTGCAGGCCTGTGCTCAGTCCACTGAGCCACACCAGCCAGGGCCCAGATTCATAACTTTAATCTCCGTAACTTTATATTTAAATATTTATTAAGTGTCTATGCAAAACTATGACTTTTTTAAGAAGCCAACCTCCAAATTTCCGGCTCACGCCCAAAGGTAAAGGTCAATGATCATTTCAATACGTATTTTTGGCATTTTAAGCTGCAATTCTAATTGTGCAGCATGTAACGATGCATGCAGATTTGTGAAAGAACTCTGTCAGTTCTATGTAGGTTCAATTAAAAAATAAAAATGACACTGTCTAAGAACAAATCTCAGAGATAATCATGGAGTTATCCAACTATTTGGAGGCAGGGACGGTGGTCAATGCACTTCCTCTCAGTTTTCCAAGCAAACTATGACCATCCATCTTGGCTAAGGACTCATTGTGCTGTCTCTTGTTTTTGTCTGTCTCAAAGAGAACATTAAATACAGTGTTAAGACAGAGAAACAAGCAAGTGACTACAATTCAAGTGTATACGGAAAGAGAAATCTTATCTTGTGAAACAGTCCCAGTATCCACATTGTGTTTTCTTATCACTATTATTTCCTTCTTTCTCCCCATCCAATGCTAAATCAACCCAATTCTGTACGGAAACCTCTTTTGTTAAGAATCATCCAGAACAAATTAATAATAGCCTAGTTCTAAACTGTCCACAGTATATTTACAAACCTCAGAAGAAATATTAGAGTTAAAAGGAAATGTTTCCTTTAAAAATGAAGAAAGTATACCCAAAGGCAGTCATTATTAAACTTAGGGTTCAATTTTTATATTTAAGAAGAGTAAATTTGTACACTATCCTTAAAAACAAATCAGAAAATCTAGTGGAACCTAATTTCAATATTAGCCTTTAAAATTGTTTTGGGGCTAGGAAAGGCGGGTGAATAAAATACTAAATAATACAGCGAGTTAAACCATTTACTTAGAAAAGATAAAAAGGTGTGTGTGTGTGTGTGTGTGTGTGTGTGTGATCTGTACCATCCTTAAACAGCAATTTTGCTAAATTCAAAGAAATCAAACACCAAAGAATTTCTGTTAGGTTATCACAGCCCAACTTTTTAGAAATAATAAAAATAAACCCTCATACTTTACACAAATTCCTGTAAGTAAATTCAGAAACAAATTCTAATAAATTAACTTTGTAAACTTCATAAAATCATCACCTCTTACTTATAAAACTAAATTTAATTTTGCCCTCAGTCTCTGCATTCAAAATCTTAAATCTGCTTTTCCTAAAATTAATATCTTGTCATCTCAATCTGTATCAGATCAGACATTGTCAGACAGTAAGTACCTTGTAAATAAACTACCATATTTTCTTTCTCTGAAAAAGGATAAATAGGCTTAACTAAGAATTATTTAAGCTCTTAGAAACATCAATTATAAATAATTAAAATTCTAATGTTTTAAAGTCTTACTAGTATTTAACTTACTAATATTAGGGAATAAGCCATATAGAAATAATATTGCAATGTATTTTGATAGGGAATCTGTAATTTAAAAACTTATATAAAACAATAATTGAAAAAGCAGGTATTACATCCCCCCAAATAGTTAATTAATATGCTCATGAAAAGGTAACTAGTGTTACCTTTTAGAAAGTAATCTGGCAATATCTTTTAAAATTTTAAATGTAATACCCCTTGGGGCAGCCAAGTCCATCTATCACTATCCATGCAAAATTGTACCAAGAAATGCCCACACATGGACACATGGATAAGGGTACTTTCTGTAGCATTATGTATAATAGCGGGGAGGGGGCAGGAGGAAGGTAATTCATATAAGGTACAGTGGGTTATCTTTTTTCTTTATAATGTTCAGTATTGAACAGATGGAGAGAGAGGAGGGAAAACTATTAGCAACATTTTTAACTGAATTTATTGGGGTGGCAGTGGTTAATAAAATTATATAGGTTTCAGTTGTACAGTTCTATAATACATTGTCTGTATATTGCATTGTATGTTCATCACCCCAAGTCAAGTCTCCTTCCCTCCCCGTATGTTCCCTGTTTACCCTCTTTTAACTGCCCCCCTTAACAATGATTTTTTTACAAGGGAAAAAACAAAGAATTTTAACCTAGGAAAACTACAATATTAGATATAGCAACAATGAAGTCAAGTGGATGCAGTTTAACTAGAAGCCTGAGTAATATCTAATAAATGTTTAATGTCCTAATTTATTAGACTTCTATTTTCTATACCTTAATGAGAACAACCCACACATCTCCTTAATAGTCTCATATGAACTAAATCAACAGTGACTGGTTTATAAAGGTCTGGCACACACTGAGAATTGGAGGCAGAATTTAGCTGGCATGAGCCCTGTAGACAGGAAAGCATATGGAGAAAGTATGGGAAAAAATCCTACCTTTCACTGTTTTTACAAATGCTTGTTTTTCTTTATTTGGATCTTTTTCATCTATTAAAATCCCATGGAAAATACGCCCAAAAGTACCTAAGAGGAAAAAAATAATTAACAAGATCATAAAATAACCTTCATAAAATTCTAAGTACAAAACTTGCTGGCACAATATAACTTAAACATAACAAGGGCATGTATGTAGGATCAACAACATTCCTATAGCCCTAGAGTAACAAGACCCAAATCTTTGTTTTTTAATGCCTATCAGAAGTTCTTTGTAACTATGAAATAATTTGCTTTTAGAAATCGCATAAGTATATGAGAATTCTTCCTGAATTGTCCTAAATAAACTAATGATATAGCCAGGAGCACTGAAACTCAGTAGTGTGGTATCCACAGAGGCATTTATGAGTTTCTAGGCTTAGCCTCAGAACAATGACAAAGGAGAGAAATAGACTATTCTCACACATTCAAAGACAACAACAAAAAACCTGCTTCTGTTAATTACTATTTGCCACTGGGGACAGTTTAAGACCCTCACTTAGCTGTGACTGACTTATAAGTATCCCAACCAACAGATAAATTCAAATGACTCATATGTATCCAAAACATTTCAAACTGAATTACAAGAGGGGGGAAGTGGGATTCTGTATTTAACACCTTGAAGAACTCAATGAAATATTTTGTTATTAATTTCTGTACCCTTCTTTCAGCATCTCTCCAATTGATATCCTAAACTCAAAAACAGAAAAAGCAAGGACCAACAAGTGGAGAGGGAAAGGGTACTAATACCTATCATGTGTTAGTTCATTTAATGTGCATTATTTCATTTAATCTTCATAATGAGACTACCAGTAAAGAACGTAGTCCAAATTTACAAAAGAGGAAACTGGACATAGAAGGTATTGATTTTCCAAGGTCACACTGGTAATATACCATGATAATGGGGCTGGAAGTTGGGTGTAACTCCAAACCCCATGCATGCTCCTTCTGCTAGAACCCCATGCCATCTGTCACAGAAAAAAATTACTTAAGACTATTTCAAAGAGGCCTGTTAGGTAGTGATCACCTTTAAACAAAAACTAAACAGCCCTGGCTGGTGTGGCTCAGGGGATTGAGCATGGGCCTGCAAACCAAAGGGTTGCAGGTTCCGTTCCCAGTCCAGCACGTGCTTGGGTTGCAGGCCAGGTCCCCAGTAGGGGGCACTTGAGAGGCAACCACACATTGATTCTCTCCCTCTCTTTCTCACTCCCTCCCCCTCTCTAAAAATAGAGGCAAATTTAAGATCTAAAGAAGGGGAAAATGAAAATCAGTTTTATAAAGGAAATAAATTATGCACTGCTTTCTATCCTTAGATACAAAGTTCTTAAAATTTGAAACAAAAAAATGTTTAGCGCTTACATTAAATCTTCCCTAAAAACCTGATTTTGAGACAATAAATACCTTCTTGGAGTACATCTTTTAGAGTTATCCTCTCCCTGGATATTGCTATATCCTTCACCTTAGCTTTGGCTTCCAAAAGAGTGACACTTCTTAGGTCGTTCTTCTCTATCCGCAAGGTAGGATAACCTGAGGAGCCAACAAAGCCAAACCAAGAAATATAAATACCCTTACTATGGCATCAGCGTCAACTGGTTCAGTCAGAACCTCAGGACTCAAGGCACAGGCATGAATGAACGTAACAACCATAAAAGGAAAAAGGCACACACGTGCTCAGGGGGAATGACTTATGAAGGCCATGCTCCATTTAAAAAAAACAACAACACATTTTTACACCTACCCCAAAATCTTAAAATGCAGAATTAACATAAGAAACACTAAAAATAGTATTACCATTACCACCACTCCAACTGCATTTTAGCCTAAGGAAACAAGTTTTGATTCATGGAATTCAATTTAATCTGTCTTATGGACAGTTTGCCTCCCATAAGATTTTCTAACATATTCTCCTAACAGACGAGCTTTTCACATGAAGAGATATTTGTAAAAACATCTTTCCTTTTAAAATATATTGTCAATTTAATCATTCTGACATTCATATAGCTTACTCATCCCATTGTGAGATTCATATTTGTTTTTCAGTTCCCTTAACCATATGTGATAACAGTAAAAACAAAATTTCTAGCTATAAATTAAAATTTTCACTCCAAAAAAAGTTAGAATAAAAGGAAGGCCCATTGTTAGTAAGGGGAAATAAGAATGGTATCTCTGCTGATTTGCTTTGGGAGACGATGGGGAGAAAAATCCCAGAAGAGTTAGTCGACCTAGACAGTGATCGTCCACGGCTGCTCGAAGAACGACAGGAGCAGCTGTGGGGAACTGTGTAACGAGTGGTAATGCTGTCCCACCTAATCGCACTGGACAGCAGTCTGACCATGACACGCCTGGGTGTGTGAGTACAATGTGAGTACTGTATCTGTTTGTTACTGTCTGAAGTTCTCGGAATTTCCTGGACCTGAGGTCTGTTGTGTTTTGCTATTTTGGAAAATTCTTGGCCATCATCTCTTCAAATAGTTTCTCTGCTCCTTTTTAAAAAATTTATAAACAAATGTATTTCTACTGAGTTTTTAAAAACTACTTATTTTATCACATATAATAAATGACTTTTCTCCTTAATGTTATGTCCACAAAAATGAGGAAACTTTTTATTGATGGTAACTAAAAAAGTATTTTAATAAGTAAATGTATTCCCACTGATATTTTAACAGTATTCTGCTCTCAGCATATATGATAATTGAATTATCTGCCTCTTTAAGGTTATATCCACAATGACAAAAAGACTCTAAAGAGCAAAGACTGACAGCCGAACATCACAAGCGGTGTGTTCATGCTGCGTAGTCTGGACTACTTTCACATTTATCATCCTATTTCCTGGAGAGCACGTATTTCTTTCTTTTGTTGGTAGTGATGACAACTGCTGCTATGACTTCTTTTACATTTCTTTTAGTCTAGAGTGCCCTCTCTTCCCCTTTTCTTTTTCTTGACACTGTGATTAAAGAAACTTGGTCAGTTATCACAGAGAATATGTGGCACCTACTTTTTTGAGTATCATTTAACTTCTCTATTGCTTGTAAATTATAAATCAGTTCTACAGCCTGATTAGGTCCAGGTTAACTCCTGAAGGTGGGGGAGGAAACAAGAAAACCCCAGGGGTGGTGCATCACACCTGGGAACACAAACTGTCAGTAATACTTGTTCTACTTTAGTGACACTAAGTTTCATTAGTGGATTCAGATGGTGACAGTCTGATTCCTCGAATGGTAGTTTCCATTTCCCTTTGTTCATAGGATTTTAAACATTAATGATCTTTTCCTGAGTCAAATAGTTTATTGTGATTACACATATAATTTCTAATCCTATCATTTCTTCCATGTTGATTAGCTGAGATTAGTCTGTAAAGATATATTATGCCTCATGAACCAGCACTATGTGGTTACTCTGAAGTACAGTTCATGTAGCCAGTTGTCAGAGTAAGGTATGTATTACTGGTGTCTTAGTTACTCCATAATGATCAATGTTTTAAAAAGATACCATTATGAACTCGTGGATTTTTACATATTTTATGTTAGATGCTCAAATAGACCCATTTGTGCGAGCTCTTCAAGTGTTTCGCAGCTTCCTTGATTTGGGGCTCAGCAACATGTCCCAGGTTTATCTTGTATGCCTCTGACCCAGTCCTGAAACCACTCATTTCCCCAAAGACTTCTGGTTCTTTTTATTGGGAAACATCACGGCAGGGTACTGGGTGAAGAACAGATATTCTTAGTACTAGTTTACTAAAGAAAAATGCTGGCCCAAGGAAGGTTAATAGCCAACTGCCTACAAGAACCTAATTTAACTAACCAATGGCATCACTGAGTGAGGCCCTGAATTGTGACCCACCATCTATCCCTATGATTACACTGTTCCTTATTTGTATGGTACCTGATTGCTCTTTATGTCTAAATTATACTTTAAGAATGATAACTTCCCCCTAAACATGCACATGTTACGGCATAAAAACTTTGATCAAAATCCTGCTAAGGAAGTCAGATCTCCTGCTCTCAGTTCCAATAGAAGCTAGTTTCCTACCCTGAAGAGAAAACATATAGTCCTTACCAGAGCCCCTAACACCATCAAACAGGTCTCTGTCTCCACGCAGCTCAATAGCTTACTCTACCTAAATACCTAAAAACCTTCCTTCTGAATTTCTACAGAAGTGGTTTTGCAGTCAAATGCTCTAACCCTGAGCTATATCCCCACAGAAGTGATTTTGTAGCCACTTTAATATATCTGATCTACAGAAATCTTCAAGAAACCAAATCTAGCAATTAAACTTAAAATTTTATTTTTCATACTCCAATTTTAGAAAGTTTCTTTTAATGCTCTAGAAAGGAAAAGCTGAAGATTAAGCCTAAGTCTGCACTTGTTAGATACTATGTGCAAAGTGTGGTACACATGTCCTGTAAGTAACTAACCACACAGGACCACTGACAGACCACAGAAAACTTTGTAAATCATCTTCAGGATTACATTAACTCTTACTGGTAATAGGAGTTGCATTGTTGGGTGTGTCGGCTCTCAGATACTGAGTCGTCTGGGTAGAGGGCTGAGACAGCCCTTGGGAACTGCTGCTGGCACTGATGCTGCAAACAAAAGAAATACGTGGCAAGTTAGCTTCAAAGAAAACTTTCCTTTCTTCATGCATATGAAGTGCATGCAGACATTATAACTAGCTTGAAGTCCTGATGGAGATCACAAAAATGCATGGACCTCCATCACAAATGCCCCATACTGAAATTTTTAATCTACCTCTGTATCTCCTCCACAATCACTAAGTCATTCAGAAATGTAGGTACTAGTCCTCAGACACCATAGAAAGCAGTCATATGACAATAAGTATACTACGGGAACAATGAGTCACCTCTTACTAGAGGAGCACATGCCGTTCAATTAAGACTGCTTTTAAGAAAAGGAACAGAAAGACAGGTCTCTTTTAATGATGGCCCAAAATCAAATGGCATACAGATGAGGGAATAATGAAGTATTTACTATTTTTGTTATTACTAATATTATGCAGCCCCAATCCTCAGAATGACAAGGAAGTACAAGGCACTCATTTTTGGAGTTCTGAGTCCTACTCAAAGATCACAATGGAAATCAAAGTTGTAAAACAGTACAGGATTAAATAATGGGGAGGGAAAGGAAGCATTACCATCCCTAAATAGGGGGAAAATAAAGAACTTCAATTTACTTCCCATAAAATGGGATTAAGAGAAACCTACCTCCCAGGATTTTTGCAAGGCTCAAGCTGTATAATACATGCAGAAACACTACTTAGATATTCCCTGCAACCAACATGCACTGTGATGGTAGAACGCCCAGATCCCAAATCATTTACTACTGTTTCTCTCCAGTAGGTGGCACTCTTGTACCAACTCAGAGTTCCTGAAAAGACTGCAGGCATGCAAAGATGTTATGAGTATATCCATGTCCATTTTTCCTTTGTTCAACAGATATTTAGTGGGTCCCTAAAATGAGCAAAGCACTATGCTAAGTAGTCAAAACAAACCTTTTTTGGAACCCCAGATTTACTATTAAAAGAGAAGCAGGCAGCAGTCAGGAATCCACCTGATAACTATTAAAACCACTATCTACATAGCTACAACATATGAGGTGGAAAATGTACATTTTCTAGCACTTAATAGTTTAAAACCAGTATAAATAAATTATCTAATTTGATTTTCATAAGCAAGTGAGGTTAATTATAGAGGTATTAACTCTGCTTTAGAGTTGCAGTTAGAAGTTAGGGCAAAGATAACTTTCCTTCACAGCACTTATTAATTTCTCTATTTATGTGTGACTTTATTTATTCATTAAAAAATACTTACTAAGTGTCTACTACACGCCAGGTACTGTTCTGGGTGCTGGGAATCCAGTGGTGAACAGATATGAAGACCCCTGCCCTCAAGAAGCCTGCAGTCCAGCAGAGATTTCTTCCCTACTGTCTGTCTCGCCCCAGCAACTATCAAGTCCAGTGCCATCAGACTGCTGGATGGGAACTTTCCAGCCACCACTGTTAGCCTGCCTGGCATGTAATCGATAATGGCTAACAGAATAGAAAATAGCAGAAGCAATCAGTCCATCACTCCTAGCACACTGCACCTTTCTGGAAACATCAGTCATAATAATGGCATTTACTATGTGCGGTTTGTGTCCTCAGAGCTTATGGTATTATTTCATTGAAAGTTCACAACATCCTTAGGAAGTATGTGCCATTACTATCTCTGCTTTACAGATGAGAAAAACTGAGACATAAAGATGCCACATATCATGTTGACGCCATAAAGCTATTAAGCAGAGCAACCACAGTTCAAAGATGCTCTGGTTTGAGTCTATGCTACTGACCACCAAGCTATGCTATGAAAACAAGTGACAATTTAAGTTGCTTTTATTCCGGCAATGTCTTGAAATCTTCACCTGAAAACCACAGAGAACTGGAACCAGTTCATGGGTGGTAACAGACTATTTCAGCAGGGAGAGGTACATGCCCCATGGAATCCCAAAGTCCTCACACAACTCTGGCCCACGTGGGCTCACAGCCCTGGCACACACGCAAACACTCAAGGACAGTGAGTGCATCGAGATGGCTTCTAAATGGCATGTTCTTCAGTGACCCCTTTGGCTCCACCTGTATCCTCTCTGAGTCTGATCAGAAAGTTCCTGTTGCCTCGTTTCTCCCTCAGTGCTTCCAAAGACCATTTCTTCCTCTCTAAAACCTAAGTCTAACTTCAGCACCACCACATACACACAACATATTCTGAAACACATCACCCATGCATTTCTCTTTTCATTCTTATCTCCTTTCTTTTTTTCCCCTCTACTCAGAAAAGGAAAGTAGAACAATAAGAACAGAGAATACTTAGAGGCAGATATTGAATTCAATCAGGCTCCCTGTCCCCTTGGGTTTTCGTTTAGGTCACAAATGTGCTTACCCACTGCATGGATGACCCTGTGTTAGGACGGGGGACTCAGCAGTAACACACACTGCTCTTTAATTGGAAAACGTTTACATTCTAGTTGGAGAGAGACGTATACAAAAAAGTGATTTCAGGAGGAAAAGGTATAATAATTTTTATCCAAAAGAGAGAGATGGAGAGGGAGACAAAGAGAGGAGAGAGAAATGGGTAGCTGGGAGGTCTAGAAAACACTTCATGAAAGAGATGGCAATAAAGTTGAAATGTGAAGAACAGACAGAGTTTGGGCTGCTGGAAAATGCAGGGAGCCTTGGGGACAGCAGGAAAGCATGAACCAAAGTGATGAAGGGCAGAGGGCAGGGCAAAAGTGAGGGACAAATAATCAGTTGACTGGAGCACTAAGAAAGGACATGGAAAGAGAGAAAGGGTCACAGAAGATGGGAGATACATCTCCACGTAGAGGAGGTCTCTGGGAGCCAAGGCACGAAGCTGGGAACATCTTCAGTCAGCAACTGGGACTGACTGAGGAGGAAAGAAGAATCGCATACTGCAGACTGTCTATCATTCCATCTTTACTTCCCACCCTGTCCTGGCTGTAACGTCCTCCTTGTCATCTGATTCACCCAGGATGGGACAAGCACCTTTTATACCCCACACTACAATACACAAACCATAATCATCCACTTTACAAACTCTTGTAATTATGGGTTAATATCAAAGATTAAATACCTGAAGCCATGAGGTATATCATTAATTTTTTAATTCCCAGCACTTAGCATATCTAACCCAGTGTATCTCAAAGGCTACACATTAGAATCATCCAGGAAGCTTTAAGAAAAATAACGATGCCCAAACACCACCCCAGGCCAATTATATCAGAACCTCTGGAAGGTAGGACCCACGTACTGGTATGTTTTAAAAGCTTACCCATAATTCTAACGAGCGACCAGTTTGAGAACCAATGGTTTACCAGTAAATCATGGCAGGTTCTAAATAAGTGTTTACTGGATAGATGGGTGGGTGGATGGATGGATAATGATGAAGAGACAAACTAGGAGGAAGAAACAAGACTATTTTAAAAAGGTACTAGGAGTCTGGTCATATCAAAGGGGATGAGGAAAAATTTTTGATCTCAGCCTCTCCACCAACTAATAAACTATAATTTCTGACTTCACAAATTTTAAAAATTAAAATTAGAGAAACATGATGAAGGCAATCACAGAGACAGTAATTTTTCCTTTAGCTAGGGCTTAATCATCCTCCCTCCTTCCCCCACACCCCTGTGCACCAGTGTGTGGGCTCCCAGGCAATGCAGGTAACTGCTTTTATTTTCTTCCTTTCCCAAAACATGTACAATACCTGTCATCCAGTTCAATCCTTTTCATACTATGAAGGTGCAAAACAGCTAAGATTATTGCTACAAGAAATATTACTGCACAGCAAACCCCTACACTGATATAGAACACACGTGTAGAAGTGGTTGGAGCTGCGTGTACAGGATCATCTGAAATAAAAATGAAAAGCACATTAAGCTTTCTAAACAAATTCATCAATAGCTTTGTGACCCAATATATATAATGAGTATCTTGTTCTTTGTATAAAAAAGAACTATCATTTTTATATATGATAGTCTTTATAAGACTATCATTTTATGTGTCCATTCTTCGATAAGATCAGTTACCAGTAATGTGTTGATGTAAATTCACAGGATTTTAGACATGTTTTGTTGCAATTTTTAAAAACAGAATTTTACATAGAACTTTTGGTTGATGAGTACAGAAGTCACGAGCAGTGCTGCCTACAGAGCATGCTGCAGTGACAGAAATGTCCTATGGTGTGCTGACCAGTACAGGAGCACTTGAAACATTGCTAGTGCAACTCAGGAACTGAAGAGTTACTTTTATTTCACTATGATTAAAGTTAAATAACCACATGTGGCCAGCAGTTACCATATTGGACAGCACATTTCCTCAACAGTGACGCCTGAAGTAGAGAGATCAGACATCACTGCTGCCCACCACCAATGACTCACAGGAGAAGGACATACAACACCACCACCCATACATTTTTTAAAAAGTTTAATCTTTTTCTCTTTCGAAAGTAACAAATTATTTTGCTTGTATGTGTTTAAGGATAAAAGCAGAAAAACAAGACTCTATTAATGAAATAAAATGCTTTATGTTATTCAAAAAAGAGAAGCCACCTCAGCAGTAAAGAAAATGACTCAAAGACACAGATACGCAGACAGGCAAACTGAGAAAGAGACACAAGGAGACAAAGGCACAGAGAACAATGAGCAAGCAGAAAGCAAGACAGAGAAATAGAATGGGTGTGACTAGGGATTTAAGTAAGTTTTGATGAGGACTTACATCGTAATTCTACTGAATGAAACCTGAGAAATTAATTTGGGTTTTATCCTAAATGAGATGGGAGATCACTGCAAGGCTCTAAGCAAAGGAACAGCACACCTGAAGAAAAAAGCAAAGATGACTGCCTGCCTGCCTGCCTGCTGTGCAGGGCAGTGAGAGCCGAAGCAGGGGACACGTGAGAGGTCCACAAAAGCGACAGTGGTGGCTTCAGCAAGTGTTAGAGTGAAAACAAGAGGTTAATGGATGGGGAAGCTAAGTCAACAGACCTTGCTAATGGATTATACTGATGTAGACAGAAAGAGGAATCAAAGCTCTGGCTTACAGAATCAGGTGAAGGCTGGCACCTTTACAAAAACAAACAAAAAGCAGGTTAGGGGAGGAGAATCAAGAGTTTTGTTGTGTCCAAGAATATGCAGTACACATCTATGGAGACATCAAGTTGACAGAAACACAAGTTTGGAGTTCTGAGGATAAGTTAGGACAAAAGGTAAAAGTTACGGCTTTCAAAAACCCTGAAATAAGATTGCTTTCTAACGCTCTGAATCACAAACACTAAGTCAGAACAGATTAATGCAAAGAGATCAAATGGCTTCTAGGGCATCCAGCCTAGAGTGCAGCCCGAATGAAGGCGTGACTTTTCACCAGCCTGCCACAGGCTGCTCAGTCTTGGGAGGGGCGCCAAGGAATGTCCCACAGGCTGCTGTTGGCGGTGCCTATCCAAGCACACTCCAGGGCATGGATGAGGACCCCTCTGCCAGTCAAATCCCCCAAAGCACCCTGCCTGATTACCCCCAAATTCCAGGCTTATGTATGCACTGTGCCCACTCCTCACGTGTATATTTCACTGCCACCCTTCAGGTCTCTGATGAGATGCCACTGTCCTCAGAAAGCTGTCTCTCACTCCTTCAGGGGAGATCACATGCCCTTCCCAGGGGTTCCCAAAGCCCCGTGCCTTATTACAGCTCGCTGCACTGTGTTGTCATCACTGCCCACTGCCTGTCCATCTCCTCCGTCATGGTCGAGGAGGGCAAGGTCTGTTTTGCTCAGAGTTTGATCCTGTGCCTCAATGATACCATCCAGCACACCAGAGACTCTCAATAAATGCCGAATGGATGGATGGATGGATAGATGGAAAGAGAGGAAAGGAGGAAGAAAGAAATAGATGGAGACCAAGAATACGCAATATTCTACTTTCTTTGTGAGAAATAACATCCTACTAGCATAAAAGAAATAGGTAAGATCACCAGATTTTTAAAAGTAAACTTAGGGGGCAGTGATTTTTTTTAAGTTTTTCTTTTTCTTCTTAGAGATAAATCTAAATGAAACATTCTAAAAAAGCCGACAGTATCTCATATTAATTTACCTTCAAAAAAGGTCTACTGTGGGACATCCAGACAATTTCTGCCTTCTGAGGTAATGAAGACGAGGGAACAGGAAGCACATACTACCAACTACACACTGTTCTTGCCAAAAGAGCGGGCCCCAAATCTAACCAAGTACAGACTCTAACTACCATTTTATAGAAGAGAGAGAAACATGTTAAATGATACCACGAGGATGCACAAATGGAAAATTCTATAGGACAAATAAATCGATTTATTGGACAAATACATGGTATTAGGGGAGAGAGTGATTTCTGGTTAATATAAAATACATGTGAACCAAATACAGTCTGTATTGACTTCACTTGCATCCTGATTCAGGGGAGGAACAAAAAAGACATTCCTGAGATGGGCAGATTTGAATATGGACTAGCTTTTAGGAGATATTAAGGAATTACTGTTAATTCTGCCATATGTAATAAATCAAATACAAGTGAACAGGTGTTGGATGATTGTGGGTTGCTTAATGACTGTCTTAAAGACAGCCACACTGAAATATTTATGGGTGAAATGACAGGATGCTTGGTATATAATTTAAAATACTCTACCCACTCCCACCCACCTACCCATCCGAAATAGGAGGAGAGACTCAGTGGAACAACATGAAGCAAGAGATGGCCACATGGGCGCTCACCTCAGCTCGTGCATACTTGCAATTCACCTCCATCTTTAAACAATTACTTCCACAGAAGAATCTAGTAACCTTTCAGACATGCTATTAAAACTATCTCAGAAACAGTAAGTCTCAATGTTTCCATGTCAGAAAAGGAAAACAGAAGTCTAAGTTACTAACACAATCATTACCATAAAAATAAAAATCGACTCTGACTTTCTGCTCTGTAGGTTTAAATAGCACGGTATCTGTCTTTAAGCTTGCGTTTTCACCTGAATGAAACTGGCTGAGGGTTAGGTCCAGGTCACAAGTCAGAGTTTCTAACCTTCTGCTAAACAGACAAAGATCTGACACATATTTCATGTTCACACTTTAATTATGACCATTTGAAATGATGTGATATGGATTCTTGCTTATAAAAGTTTCTTAGGATCTTTTGTTATGAAACATGTATGAGTTTTACCTCAGAAGAGTTTTTAACATTCTAATAGTTTCAACTGACTGTACACCAACCTACAGAACATCAGCAAATTAAATAGCGTGGCATCATTTCTCTTTTGACCTACTAGAAACCACAAGGCCTCTGAACTTCATGCAGTCATGTTCATTTGCAATCAACCATTTTTCATCCCTAATGATGGAGAAGAAGAATACAGTAACACTTACAAATAGTTCTGCTAGTGTTTTTGTCCAAGGCTGAAGTTTTTACTTCTTCAAGTTCTGAATTAAAAAGGAGATAAAAGATGCTTTAGAAATTATTTTCCATGAAAATCCTTAAATACTGTAATTACATTTTCTAAATTTTCCCTCACATAGTTTTATATTATATCAGAACACTGCCTGAACTAAGTAACAAGGTATTTGTTGCAAGATAGTAAATGATAGACTATTATTCTGATAATCATCACCCTAATCATTATTAACCAAAGGGTGTTCCATATAAATACTCAATGAAAAAAGGGTTTCTGTGGTCAAGAAGTTTAAAGAAAGCCACAGGCTGTAACCTCTGTGGAGGCTCACAGTGCACACTAGCAGAGTGTAAAGGCTCTACAGCACAGGTGGCAAACACAAGGCCTGCAGGCTGAATCCGGCCCTCCACCTTGTTTTCTCCAGCCTGGCGCCTTGTTTCTACCTGGTGGCAGCGCCGAGCTCCTTGCCTCCAGTTAAGGAGAAGTTACATTATACAGTCCTAAAATTACATTCGGCCCTTTGAAGGCAACCGTGAGGTTGATGTGGCCCCCGGTGAAAATGAGTTTGACACCCCTGTTCTAAGGAGTTCTAGAGTAACACATTAGTCTGATCCAGCAGTTTCCACCCTCATATGGTAAAAGGAGCTTTTCTTGCCAGTAACACCCATTAACGCTCAGTGTGGTACAAATACATTTTCTGTGCAGTTTTAAATGTCATGGGATGGAAAACCAGATAAACAAACCGTATTAGGATCACATATTAAACTAAGAATCATGATTGGGGTGGTCACTAGTATGACCACCAAATAAAAAGGGTGGTGCTGTATTAAACTTAAGTCTGTAACAGAACTGGAAATTACACCATTAATTTTGAGGTTAATTTTCATGTACATATTAAAGAGGTCGTTCTGAGTATCAGCTGATCTTTAACCTCAGGGAATACTGCACTGGTGGGCTCCACAGACACGTCACGCGTTGCCAGCATTCTTCAAGCATGAAAGGTGAAGCGCGTGGAGAGTCATCACTCGCCTCCCCCAGGAATCGGGAAGCAAGTGTTTTACATTCCTCACCCACTGGTGCCTGAGCTTAGGCGGCCTCTCAGTGCCTGGGCTCCTCATAGTTATTACACAGAGACTAGTGGAACTAGACAGTCTTTCAAGTCCAGTTTTAAAATATATAAAAGTAGGTATGTAGTGAATACACTAGAACAGAAGAATGCATCAAAACACCAAAGCTAACTATCTTCATCTTTAAAATGTCCATTCTAATGCAATACAGCTTTTTTGTTGACGGGTGCCTGGATATTAGCCATTACAACTCACTTGCTGGTCTGAGGCATTTTCATCACACTCAGCACTAACTCCAGTTAGGAAATGTGTGAAGAGGCAGTGTGACACCTAGGCTAAGCACAAACCACTAGCCGGGTTTGTACTCCAGCTGTACCACTTAGCTGTGTGACCCTGGCAGTTGGTCAGATTTCCTGAGCCACAGCTTCCTCTTCAGAAAATGGAGGTAAATGAGAAAACCTACTGCCTAGTATTGTTGGAAGGATTAAATGAGTTTAATGCATGTAAAGCACTTGGACACAGTACGTACTTAGTAAGTTTGGAGGGATTTTTTCTTCCTCATACACTGTAATTTCATAAGTAACAGATTATTCAAAAGCAAAAGCTACTAACATTTGTTAAGTACCCACAAATGGTATTCTAAGCTTTAGGTTAGATTCGATTAATCTTTAAAAAAAAACAACCACCACCCTCTAAAACATGTTAGCATGTCCATTTTACAGATTAAAGAACCAAAGACTTAGATTAAGTCATGTGTCCCAACCTCTTGCCAAAAGCAGAGTCATAATTTAACCCAGGTCTATCAGCCCCAGGCAACACTTCTGCATAATGGTAACTTCATAAGGGGAATACACTTAATCCCTACTCAGGGGCCCCTATCAGAATTACCTGATTTCCTTAAGTCTTCAGCTGCTGTAGTGCTAGTTCACATTCCTAATATAAAATTCCCTAGCAATTCTAATAAAAGATTTTGAGGAAGCAGGGACTGAGTGAGGCCTGAATGAGGTTCCTGGCTGTAAGGTCATCTGGAATTACTTTGGAATTTCATCTGTTAGTACTCTTTTTCTCATTTGCAACTATAATCAAGATTTGGTTACAAATCTGTAAAAAAAGACTAGAAAATCTGTTTTTGAACCTGCCACATCGATAGATAAAACACATACTTTGGTAAATAAATTCCTTACTTTTGTAGCACATTTTCCTTCGTTTAAAATTTAAGACTGTAAAGTTTTTTGAAGAATTTACTGTCAAGTTGAGCTGCATTAGTATCATAACCTCAGAATCTACTTTGCCAGTACAGGAAAGCTCGACCCGAAACACTGTTTAAAAAAAATAAGAAAAATTATTTTATTTTTCTAAAAACCAACATTAAATGCTCATTACATATCTTTAAATCATTTTATTTTTGTTGCAATGAAACTAAAAATACATTTATATAAGATACTAAGCAGAAACTTTCAGAGAACTTATCTTCAGACTAAACAGCTTCAGACATCAAGTATTTGTTAAAGAACAAACCAAAAAATAAATGAAGAGATAATTATTTTCAACTTTTGCTCATGAATTTTAATATCACTTTTCCTCTTATTATATTGTAGTAAAGCTACAGCATCATAAGGCAAACCCTGCTATCTTACCATGCACATCAACAAAAATAACAATAAACATTATTTGATAAAGGGGTGAGACAATTCACCACAAAAATGCAGTAAGTATTGCTCTTAATGAAGAGATTACATATATCTTGTAAACAAATCTGATAAATTCTCAACTGTGAAAAAATAGAAAATACCTTTCTAAACAGAAAGTATCTTTAGTTAATTACTATAGCAATGGGATAACAGATTTTGGTGCATATCAATTTTTTTTCAATCTTTCAGTTTAAGATTCTTTTTCTACAAATTTAGAATCTATCATTCTATTATCCGTAAGAGCACATTACAGACATGGGCATTTCTAAATAGCTTTACTGACCCACAAAAATTAATCAGCCCTCCTATGCTGTCTTAAAGCTTAGATAAATGTATGTTCACTAATAACAGTGAATTGGACTTCCAGAAAGACTTCCACAGCACTGCTGTGGCTCAAACTTCCAAATTTTAAAAATTTCCATTTTCTTAAAATCTCACATCTTCAGGAGCCTTTCTCAAAAGGCTGGTGCAAAAGTAGTTAAACTAGTGTAAATATGACATTTAAGTCATTTACTATGACATGCCCTGAGTGCCTATCCTGTGCCAGATGCTATGCCAGATGCCCAGAGTGGACAGTTGAAAAAGCACCTGCCCTCACGGTGGCCACAGGCTAGCAGGGAGAGGCGAAGACAAAGAATTATGAGATAGAGGCAGAGGCAGAAAAAGGACAGTGCAGATTTTGAGACTTGCATAGTATTCAGTATGAATAGGCATTTAGAAGCACAAAAGAGGAGAAGATGGTTCCAAATACAGAGACCAGCACATGCAAAGGACTGGATATCATAACCGCATGAAGTGTGGACTGCTGGAACGCTGGAGCAAGTGCAGAAACAAGGGCAGACAGACAGGAAGAGACAGATGATGAACATATAGCACACTGGCTACAGAGTCTGGGATGTATTTAGTTGATGGAGGTCAGGGCACTGATGGACATGGTGTCACACTATCAGATCATTCGGGCCACAGTGTGGGAATTACTCCAGGAGGACCAAGATCAGATACAAGGACCCAGAGGCCAGGACCAGCAATGCAGAAAAGGAGATGAGAAAGAGTTGAGCACAGACAGTTCTAGAGACGATGGAAAAGGGAATGGCTTAAAACACAGTACAGATAATCAATGTTTATAAAAACTACTTTGCAAAGTTGTTATATAGTTCTTATGCCTATGAAATAAGATGTACTACACATCAGTATAGTATATAAACTGTTTTGGGGAGGACACAGGGGACACAATTATAAACAATACGTTAACTCTGTCTTTGAGACTTACCTGATAAAGTGCGTGGAACTTCCCCCTGAGCAGAAATGTTGACCTGGGGCATATCCATTGCCACAAAGTTGTCTACTTGGAATCCCAGTTTATATTCAACCTGTGGTGTCGAGAAATAAACAAACTGGATCTGTGATAACAGAAAGGACACTAACAACTTGACTTCACTGATTAGCTCATTAACTAATGAATACATGAGCCTTTCATATGTACAAATGATCTAGCTATTAAAAAATGCAATTGTTAGAAACAGTCCTAGGAATTTTCAAGTGGATAAAAACTCAACCCAGCAAGCCACCCTCTACTTCACGTCCAGAATAGTACCACCGCTCTACTGTAAAATCGCGATCGAGATTTCAAAAGTCCTGCTGAGAACTACACAGCCACTGACAAAGAAGCCCCAGAAAGCTGCTGAGGTGTGTAATTCACACACCAAGACTAGCCAGCAATGCGTTCTCTGGCTGATAAAAGCCAAGCTCTGATGGGCTCCATGTGGCTGGGAGACCCACTCTCATGAGCAGATTCCAAGGCAAGAATTTCTTACAGAACATCTAAACCACATTCTCTAGTCCAACTTTCACCACTAAGCAAGTTCGTGGTTAGGTGCCCATTTAAACTCTGGATCTGTTTCTCAAGTAATTCAGAATCTGGAAGGGAAAAGAGGTGACTAAGAAGATGTCCCTGGAACACCAGTATTATCTGTCAATACTTGGCCTACATGGCTTAAAAAAAACAAGCAGCATCAATTAATAAATATAGTCTTGCTGCTCAGAAAGATGTTCATGGGAGAAACAGCTCAAACTGCAATGCCACAGCTGAAATTCAGAATGGCTGCCAATTAAGACCTTCAATGAGGCCTTATATTTCACATTATTCTTTGTACTGCCCATTGGGTTTTGATAAGAATAGTACTCCACTCCCATTCAGTGGTCACGAAGGCGGCTTTGGTGCAGGGCTAGGGATGGCAGAAGCCAAGGGGCAGTGGGTTGGAGAAGAGTGGCAGGAAAGAGGTTCAAGAAGCCATTACTTAAAATTTTTTTTATTTTCAATTACAGTTGACATACAATATTATATTAGTTTCGGGTGCACAACCTGTGATTAGACATTTATATAACTCACAAAGTGATCACCCCAATAAGTCTAGTACCCGCCTGACATCACACATAGTTGTTACGATATTAATGACTACATTCCCTATGCTGTGCCTTATAACTGGCAATTTGTAAATCTTCTTTAAGAAACTTAACTAGGAAGAACAGAGCCAGGCAGTAGCTGGGGAGGGGGGAACAGTTTCCAAAGCTTTTCTTTCTTCTTTTATCAATAGGAAATATTCAAATGTATTTATATGCTAATGTAAAAAGCCAAGGAAATGGGACACCATAAAGAAGGAAACTGAGAAAGAGTATCACCCCAGACTGTAAGAGAAACTATTATTTTGCAGTTATTATAGGTATACAAACTATTGTTAGTGGCTGTATTTGTTAAATGTAATGTTCACAACAAAGGAAATGTTCTTGTTGCTGCACATCAGTGACTTAGTAGCACCTTGGCTAGGAAGTGTCCCTTCTCACCTTAGCACACCACAATACTGTCCCTGCCACCAGGGGGTGCTAGAGAGCTAGGGCCCAGAAAGTCTGGGCCAAGCAGTAGCAGGCTTTTCAGCAATTCTCATTGACTAAACAGTAAGAGAATGCATGGCCTGCATCCCTATATCCATGCCATCTCTGAACAGGACCATACATGGGAAGCTAGTGCACAGAAGAAATCGGCAGTCAGCAAGAACTGGATTTGGAACCATTAGAGACTTTGTGATCCTTCAGTAAATTAACTTTTCCAAGTTCCAGTTGTTGTAAAAGGAAGGGAATAGAACCTGTTATGAGGATCAAATAGGATAATTAATGCAACACATCTAACTGTCACCTGGCACCAGTCACCTCTGACGAATGCAGATTCCAGCGGATTCTGCAGTCATTCCAGATTAGCTACCCTATTGCCCCGCTGCACTTCCCACTGACACCAGTCTACTCCTGACCCTAGAGATTTTGACACAACTTTCCTGTGCTCTACCAAGAACACTGCTGCAGCCCTTCTGTTTTGTACCCCTCAACCTTTAGAACCCCACTATTCTACAGCCTCTCACACTCTCAGGCTCTTCACGATGTCTCCCCTACCTGTTCCCAAACCTGGCTTTCCTTAGAGTCATGTCTTCCCTTATCATTCAGTTCCCACAACACCTGACCCTCAAGGACTAGGCAGTAGGGTTGCCATTCTTTTAGGATCATTAGGTCCTTTCTAGACATCCCTTCCCCACGCAAAATCACCTACACTCTGAAGCTCACATGTTCTCATGATAGCCATCTGTCATGCAATCAACATAAACAACAGACCCGGGACTTCACAGAGGCCTTGGCCCTTGGCTCACTTTTCTACTGCCATGTTCCTGGGGGCTTCACCATTCAATTTTCCTACATACTAAAGAACCTGCTCCATACCCAAAACCAATGCAAAAATCCCACTCTATCCAAGATCCCATCACTACCTCCGATTCCTATAAAACCAGTTCTTTGTCCCCACCACTCTAATTCGGCCAACATTTATGAAGCACATTTATAAGGGCTGTGCTCGCAGCTGAACTGCTAACAGCCAATTAACTATTTCCCTCTTCTCCAGCCCAGCCAGTGACCTGGTTTTATTTTCCCATAGTCCCTGCACCAAAGAAGATAGTGTTATTGACACTGTCATATCAACATCCCCTCAACTGGTTCACTCCCTCCACCCTGACAGGGCAGCCCCAGCACCTGACCGCCCCTCATCCTACTCCTGCTGCCCAGCACTGCCAGAGGAAGTCATATCCCAGGGGGGTGCCCTCACACAATGCTGACCCCAGGCTCAGGGCAGCCCTGTAATACTGCTCAGCTGTCCTTTCCTCACCAACCCTCTCTCCCTGGTGTCCCCATTCCAAATCTCAAAGGACCTCAACTGCTCACCACCTGCTGCTCTGCCCGCTTCCCCACTCAGCAATGTTCTTGTCCCCCTCAGTTAGCACACAGGAGCCCCCTTTCTGCCTTTCTTTTTGGCATGAGGGAGATCTGATAGGACACCCATACTTTACACCCATCCAAGGAAAGTTCTATTCTCCTCTCCAAATGATAAGTCCTTCTCTCAAGTACACTAGGTTCTAGCCCATTTCACCATGATAGGATCTCATATTATCAAATGGTCTTTCTCACTCTCCTATATCTTTAATCTCCCCCATAGGCCCAATTACACTAGACATATCTACCTAATAATCTTATAGCCCTTGAATTTAACAGATTGAAAACCAAACTTATGTTTCCCCACACTTAACTATCTCCTTGACTGTAGGACTCAGTCATGATAAGCAGAAGCCCAGACAGTCAGGGACCAGATCCCCTGGGAAAGCAGAGAACGGCACATGGGGTCAGGGGCCCTAACTCAGTGCTGAGGACAGGGAACAAGACTCACACCAGAGCAGCTCAGTGTGGCAAGTGGAGAGACATGGGCAAGGCAGAGGGAAGTGAGCTTATGAGTGAGCTGGGGAGAGTGAGGGGCAGGAGCAGAGGTGGCAAAGGGGCTCAGTAAGATGTTGAGAAGGACAACACTGTGGCCAGAACAGCAGCCTGGAGGAGTAAGTTGGAAAGCATGGAAGTCTGCTCTTTGCTGGCTGCCTTTGTGAGGACTGTCAAAACATGTGAGGCACTCACAAAGCAGTCCTCTTCTCCTTCTGGAATCTTTAAGATACAAATTTTAAAACTGCCGTTTCTGGGGTCAGAGAAGAAACTGACCACTATTAAATTCCCATTTTCCGTGCTTTGGCATCTGTCGATCTATATGGAATCTCACTGGTCAATAATCCTTTGAAGAAACGGATCTGTTCTACAACTAACGTTTATAATCTACTGGAACAAAGGAAATTTAAACAGCAGTTGTTTGTCAGAAAAAAATAATGAGCCAAAATACTTCAGAAAAGAAACTGGTGAAAATATAAATATTTGAATAAGCTAAAAAATAAACATTTTTGATAATCTTCCCTTACTTGGTAACAAATGGCACTGCAAATAGGCAACTGATGAGTAAAGCCATTTCTCTTTGAAACACAGTACAGATTTAAAGTGAATACACTTGCCTCCAGCCAAACAGCCTCTTAGTTTCTCTGAAATTATCAGAAGTGCTGCCTTCCCCATAGAAACCCCACTCTGCAGGGGATGCAGCAGGCTATTCCCAGGGGCTGCAGAAGGAACTCTGGGCACGCTCCCTCCAGACCCTCCTGACAATGATGAAAAATTCCAAAACCAGAGAACAGCTTTGGGGTGGGGGTATGTTCGGGAAGTATTCTGCCACCCTTTGATATATTTTTGCCTTTCAGCTATCTAAAATATATATATTGACACTTAACAAATGCAGTGTTTTTCTGGATATTGGAGAATGTTTTGGAATACAGAAAAAACTAATTATCTGTTAAAAAGACCCAGTAGTTTTTGCTTTTTTAAAAGTGTGTAGCCTTGTGAAAGAGTAGCATTATCAGAGTTCCTGTCCCATGTGGAAATGCAATTACCCAGTGGTATTTATCCGCCACTCACTACAGCAATGTGACACACATAGCAAAAATAAGACACAGCTCCAACCTCTGAGGAGACCACAGTCCGTCTGGCAAGACAAAACAGAGTTGTGTAAACACTCAAGAACAACACTATTAGCAAAAGCTTTGATGTGTGAAAACTAAAGTTAAAATATCTACAATGTGAACTGACATACCAAGCATGGAGACCTTTGGAAGCAAATATTTCATCTGGCAAAATCTTAAAAAGCAAGAAGTGAGAGTTTCTGATAAAGTGTTAGAGCTTGGGAGCCATAGCCCTCCTTCTGAAAGTTCACGACCACATCCCAGAGCCCATATGATCCGGTGAAGAGCCCTTCTCCAAGTCTCTCCTGCCCCCTAGCATGACTTTCCCGTTTCAGGTCAGCTCTACTCTCCACATCCTGCCAAATATGGGTCTTAGTTTCCTCTTATAACAACTGATCAATAAACTCAAGTACAACCATGTAATAATATCTGATACCATCACCTGAAGGGAAAAA